CAGCAACTTTGTTTTTGATCCTGATTTACAGCATCTGCAGTTCTTTCAGTTTTTGTTTTTCTTACAGCAGAGAAGGCTGAGTAAGGATCTAACTGTGGACAAAAATGAACTGAGGGACATGGACAGGGTAGATAGGGAGAAACTTGTTCTCCTTAGTACAGGGGTCAATATCCAGGGGTAAGGTTTTAAGGTAAGGAGCAGAAGATTTAGAGGGTATCTGGAACCCACTGTCTGAAAGGGTAGTGAAGGTGGAAGCCTTCATGCATTTAATAACAATTTAGATGAACACCTGAAATGCCATAGCATACAAGGCTATGAGCCAGGTGCTGGAAAATGGGGTTAGAATAGATGGACATTTATGTTACAATGGGCCGAAAGGTCTCTTTGTGTGTCGTAGAAACTCTATGACTCTCTAACATGCAATTCAGACTCCCCCAAGACCTTCCTGACCTCTCTCCACTGAAGATATTAGAGTGCATAGAGGTGCGCAACATTTTGATTTGACATGACAAATATTCCTTTTATTCCTCCGTCTCTGTCGCATATGTTCAGATGAGGCCAACTTCGACAAGGGAGCCTCCGAAATGTCCACCTTCTTTCTCAACTGAGGATTCCCCAGTTCCTACAAGCAATAACAGTTGACTGATCAGAAGGTTTCAGTTGTTAACTGCTGCTCAGGTAATTCTAACGAGAAAAGTTTATAATGATAGAAGCAGAATGCTCCAAGCACAGCACAAGGCATATCCATAGTGCCACCTATATATTTTGAGCTTAATGCAATCAGCAAATCTTTGGTGGGCTAAGTATCCTTTATTTCTTAGATATTTATACATGCCGAAGAAAATCGCATTGAAAGGAAATAATACACTGCTATTCAGCACAGATTTTTCAGCCTTTTATTCCAGATAGGACCACAGAACTGTTTTGATTATAGTTGCTTTCTTTCTTTTTTGAGCAAGGCTAAGGGTAAACCCATTCAGGAATATAAATGAACACAACTGATAGCTGCATGTGTTTTCTTGCGTTGCACTGTATCAGGTCAGGAAGAGTGATGGAACATAGTCTGTATTGTTGGGCTAAATATGATGGATTCTTTAAGGGATCAGCTTCAAAAATGAGAACAGTATCCATATTTTCACCAGCAAGTCCCTGTAACTTAAATGGAAGAATGGTAAAAACATGGATGGATGCATCACTGAAATTTATGCCAATTTTCTACTGATGTTATAATAGTCCATTGGGGCACCCTCAGAAGTAACCTTGACATATTAATTTAACCAGCAAGCATTATGTCTCTGCCATACTTAAAACGAGCCAAAATCTAAGGTCTTTGCAAAGCCGTCCTCAATTTACTTATATGCACTTTGTATTTTGTATATGGGAGTTGGCCAATGAGGAGCAGTATTCTTTTTTACTATATATATAAAAGTTCATCACATTCAAAGTTTGATACACCTTTCCATTGTTTTTTTTTTATCCTGCCATGACTCAGTGATGCATTTTTGATTCCTCATTTAGTGATTTTTTTTGTCAGTGCTCTGATTTTGTTTTTGCCTCCTCTGAGCAAAAAAAAACTAAGGCTGCCACACCATTCAGAATCTTGAACATGCTTGAATTGTACCAACAAGGACAATTTTTTCTGTGGTGTCACCTGTGGTACTCAGGAGGACAATCACCCATCTGGTAGACACCAACTTAGAATGGATGAGTTGAATCCTATTGTAGTTTGCTAGCCAAATTATGAGTCTGCCTCACAGGCTTACTCTGTGTAAGGATTGTTTTCCACAACATGTTTGTGCTGGCAAATCAAATAATCCCTACAGTGTGTCAAGTCTGCACCAACCCTTCAAATGGCATCCTAACATAGACCGGCCACCCTAACCCTGCAACCCTACACCTACCATAGCTAATCCACCCAACATGCACTTCCCTGGATACTGCAGGGCAATCTAATAAAAACCAAAAGAACTGCGGATGCTGTAAATCAGGACCAAAAACAAAGTTACTGGAAAAGCTCAGCAGGTCTGGCAGCATCTGTGAAGGAGAAAACAGAGTTAACGTTTCGGGTCTGGTGACGCGTTCTCAGAACTTATGGTGCTGGGAAAGAGTCAGTTTGTATGCAGAAAACAGGGAGGTGGATAGGGTAGGGAGTACGCAACAGGATAGAGCCCAAAGAGAGAAAGACAGTTGGACAGACAAAAGAGTTGCTGACGATCAGGCTGGGAGGGTGAATAGTTGTTGATGGGGACTGTTGGTGACTAACAACAGGGAGTATGTAATGGCAGGTTATGTGGTCACAAGGCCTGGTGTGTGGGGTAGGGGGCTGGGACATGGGAGAGTTTAGGCCCTAAAATTATTGAACTCAATATTGAATCCAGAGGGCTGTAGGGTCCCCAAAAGTGGAAAATGAAGTGTTGTTCCTCCAGCTTGCGTTGGGCTTCGCTGGAACACTGCAGCAAACCAGAGACAGAGATGTTGGCCAGGGAGCAGGGTGGTGCATTGAAGTGGCAGGCAACAGGTAGTTCAGGGTCTTTTTTGCGAGCAGAACATAGATGTTCTGCGAAGCGGTCGCCAAGTCTATGCTTGGTTTCCCCAATGTAGAGGAGACAACATTTTAAGCAGCGAATGCAATAGACTAGATTCTGGGAAGTGCAGGTGAAGTGTTGCTTCACCTGGACGGTATGTTTCGGCCCTTGGATACATCACTGTGATATCTGTGATCCTGGAAAGATTCAAAACATGAGGGATGAAACTTCAGTTGGAATCCCCACCCACCACCAGCCTCCTCCACTTGGCCGAGCTGGTCCTCACCCTCAATAACTTCTCTTCCGACTCCTCTCATTTTCTTCATGTAAGAGGGTTGCCATGGGTACCCATATGGGCCCCAGTTATGCCTGTCTCTTCATGGGGTACGTGGAACATTCCTTGTTCCAGTCCTATTCTGGCCTCCACCCACAACTCTTTCTCCAATACATCAATGATATCATCGGTGCTGCTTCCCTCTCTTGTCCGGAATGGGAAAACTTCATCAATTTCACCTCCAATTTCCACCCTGCCCTCGCTTTCACTGGTCTATCTCTGACTCCTCCCTTCCCTTCCTCGACATTTCTGTTTCCATTTCTGGGGCTAGACTAGCCACTAATATCCACTGCAAACCCACTGACTCCCACAGCCACCTGGACTATACATCCTCACACCCTACTTCCTCCATCCCATTCTCTTAGTTCCTCCGTCTCCGTCGCATATGCTCAGATGAGGCCACCTTTGACAAGGGAGACTCCGAAATGTCCACCTTCTTCCTCGACCGAGAATTCCCCAGTTCCATTGTCGACAGGGCCCTGAACCAGGTCCGACCCATCTCCTGCATTACCGCCCTCACCCCTTCCCTTCCCTCCCGCAACAGTGATAGGGTTCCCCTTATCCTCACCTACCATCCCACCAACATCCACATCCAGAAGATCATCAGATGCCATTTCCGCCACCTTCAGTGAGATGCCACCACCAGATACATATTCCCCTCCCCCTCCCTTGCCCACGTTCTGCAGGGACCGTTCCCTCCAGGACACTCTGGTCCACACTTCCTTCACTCCCAACACCTCCCCACAGCCCTACAACACCTTCCCCTGTAACCGGTGAAGGTACAACATTTACCTCCTCCCTCCCCATTATCCAAGGGCCGAAACATACCTTCCAGGTGAAGCAACACTTCACCTGCACTTCCCAGAATCTAGTCTATTGCATTCGCTGCTCACAGTGTGGTCTCCTCTACATTGGGGAAACCAAGCATAGACTTGGTGACCACTTTGCAGAACAACTAAGTTATGCTTGCAAAAAAGACCTTGAACTACCAGTTGCCTGCCACTTCAACGCACCACCCTGCTCCCTGGCCAACATCTCTCTCTCTGGCTTGCTGCAGTGTTCCAGCAAAGCCCAATGCAAGCTGAAGGAACAACACCTCAATTTCCGCTTTTGAGGACACTACAGCCCTCCGGATTCAATATTGAGTTCAATAATTTTAGGGCCTAAACTCTCCCATGACCCAGCCCCCTACCCCACACACCAGGCCTTGTGACTACATAGCCTGACATTCCACACCCCCTGTTGTTAGTCACTAACAGTCCCCATTAACAACTATTCACCCTCCCAGCCTGATCGTTAGCAACTCCTTTGTCTGTCCAACTGTCTTTCTCTCTCTTTGGGCTCTATCCTATCGTTTATTCCCTACCCCACCCACCTCCCTATTTTCTGCATATAAACTGACGTTTTCCCAGCCACCATTAGTTCTGAGGAAGGGTCACCTTACGCGAAACGTTAACTCTGTTTTCTCCCTCACAGATGCTACCAGACCCGCTGAGCTTTTCCAGCAACTTTGTTTTTGTTCCTGATTTGCAGCATCCACAGCTCTTTCGGTTTTATTCCTTTTGCTTTGTCGTTGTATGTTCTTACTTGTCCTTCTTTTAAGGAATGTTGGTATTTCTGTTGAATTCTGACTGATGACCTCCAGACTTAGAGCATTATAAAGCAGGAACATACAATCGACACCCAAGCTCCAAATGGTCATCGGTCCAGCACACTGCACACGCTCACCTCCATCATGCCAACTCTACCGTCTAAGGTGAGGTGCGGTCGCTCACTGCGCCTCTGTGGAATGGAGTTGCTCAAATAGTCCGGGGAGCTGACCTTGTGCTGGGGAAAATCCTGCATCGCAGCAAAAAGATGCAGCAAACCAAATGCAACACATACATAGTAGATGCGTGCGCTTTATCTTCGTCCAGCACTGTCACTTCGAGATAGAAACATTGTTTGTTGTTAATTTATTGCACATGAAAGCGAAATCTGCATATTAGTATAGAATTTATATTTCCCGTCAGTTCAACTTCATCCATTGGGGAAATCTATTTTGCATAATATACGAAAGTGTTATAAGTGCGGGAGTTTCGCTGATGTAAACGTAAACCATCACATGTAACAGCAAAATCTGTTACATTACGGTGGTCGCTGTGCAAAAGACACACTGTCATCGTATCTTTTAATATTCTGTAAAACAGTAATTTTGGCCAGTCAAACTATTGCCGAATAAACACACCCTCCTTCACAAAACTGGAGCATCTCGATTTATTACTTCGTAGCTTTTATCATTGAAAATGTTGTCAAAATAGGGAATTTATTTTAAAAGATGTGGCCAATTGGAATACACTTCCCCATGAATTCCACCACGGACAATTTTATTTATAATCCCTCGAGTAATTGAAGTTGACGGCTGCTGAGAATAATAGTGTTGGAATATCTCGTTTTTCAAAACCTTGATCCATTGGTTCTCCATATTTATCATCACTAATCTATGTAAAGGAAGCGAAGATTGCTATCCGACTGAAATGGAAAGTCGCCGGCTTCATTCACTACTTTTGACAATCCCGCCAGTCCGCTAGCTTTGTCAGAAAATAACCATCACTATTCTATGTTTACATCTCGGGGCTAGAACAAGTTAATAAGCAATGTTTACATATTTGCGATCAATACGGCAAATTAAGTGTTGGAGAAGGTAACATTCCTAATCTGATGGTACATAAATGAATTTGCTACTGTGGGATTGTAATCAGATAGTCACACAATAGCAAACGTTCTTGTCAATAAGATTCCACACATTCTGCATTGCTATTCCAATGCGCTGATCTCTTCTTCCATCAGTTAAACCATAAAAATACTGGGACCGGCGTTTGCATTTAACATTTAAGTTAAAAGGTGCTCTGTGCCTGGGAGGTCCAAGGGACAGTTTCCTGTGCAGTATATTTGACACTACTGGAGTTAGAGCTAGAGTTATTGGATGTCAAACCCAACAAGTACAACATTTCGGAGCTTCTTGCTTCGCGTTGCTCCCGGGACAGATCCGTCCTCTTATACGGTAACTGTTTCAGGGATCATACAATTGGTAATGGAACCGAATCCTTATTGTGTGCAATGGTCGAAGTCAAGAGGCTGCTTCATTCCTCGCCCAATGCCAGCCATCATGTTACATTGACTAGGAAATAATCATTACTGCTGGTGCTCTTAGTCTGTAGAGAAGCAAGGTCATACATTCAACCATTGTTATTAACAAATCATATCGATGGTCTGCAAGTTTTTATTCCACTGGATCTATGGCAGAAAATACGGCCTCGGGCTTATAACAGAATAACGTCAAGCCGGCTCCCAGAAGCATTGACAAAACAGACTTATAAAAGATTTACCTTTAGGTGCTGTTTGCTATTTTAACCATGGTTGACTGACTGTCGCAGAGGTAGGAGTCTTCAGTTTGGCAAAGGTCAAAGGTCAGCTAAATATGATTGGCATATCTGCTTTTGTCTGATGCAGGAGAATCCTGAAGCAAAATATATTTTACCAAAGTCATGCTAGTGTGATGATCATGTTGATTTTTAACGATCAATATGCGTTTACCATCTTAAAACGCAAAATCTCTTTACATTATTTCACTATGTGTGAACATATAAATGTGCGTCACGGAAGTTATAATGCAGAAGCAGACATATGCAAATAACGTATTGCATTTTTTTTTAAATCCTCTTCTAACGATCATATCAACATAGAAACAAGTTCCAACAATTCTCAGTATGGTAGCCCAGGTGTCCAAATATTTAACTTTAAATGGCGTACAGTGAAAACTTTGTAATACAACCTGTCTTCGATTTAATCTGTCAAGTTTAAAATTCTATTCTAAACTTGATAACTTTGAATATTATCGACCGGACATGTGAAATTGGCCAGTAATCTTTTTTTTTTAATTGCAATTCTTACTAATTGAAAATGCGAAATGTTAAATTGCTGTTACAATCTGAGATTAATTCTTTGCATCTGATTAACCATGGGGAAATTCTTCAAGACATTTGACCTTTATTCTATATATGAAGACGAAACAATTGAGAAAGTAAATCCTATGCCTGAAATTATAAAAAAAAACAGAAATTACTGGAGAAACTCAGCAAGTCTGACAGCATCTGTGGAAACAAAGTAGTCAACGCTTAGGGCCCACTAACCCTTCTTCAGAACGTTTCAGTTTTCCAGCACACGCACTTTGTTTCTGGATTCCTGAAATTATGAACTTCGCTGGAAGAAAATCAAGGCTGAATCTATTTCATTGAGTTTCCTCCATTCTCCATCAACAATTGCCATTGTCTGTACAATGTCCCGTACATATATAGAGCATGATGTCATTAAATTGCTAATTGACAGTGCAATCTGGTTGGGTAAATTATAGCAAAGATCAACTGGATAATGAGTAGCGATCCCAGTGGCCTAGCGATTCTAAATTAAATAATACGTGTACTCGTGTGCAGAAACTACTTTGGGAATATATTGATTCTGGCCAGAAAGCAAACGTGTATCACGTGTATTACTTTTATGAATCAAACATGACTTTTAATAGAAAGAAATGCAAACTATCTAAGGAAGGTGATGTGTCTCCGCTTGGTTTCCCCGATGTAGAGGAACCCTGCAGCCCAATGGTATCAATGTGGATTTCACAAGTTTCAAAATCTCCCCTCCCCCCACCGCATCCCAAAACCAGTCCAACTCGTCCCTGCCTCCCTAACCTGTTCTTCCTCCCACCTATCCCCTCCTCCCACCTCAAGCCGCACCTCCATCTCCTACCGACCAACCTCATCCCGCCCCCTTGACCTGTCCGTCCTCCCTGGACTGACCTATCCCCTTCCTAACTCCCTACCTACACTCACCTTTCCTGGCCCCATCCCCGCCTCTTCGACCTGTTTGTTTCCTCTCCACCTATCCTCTCCTCTATCCCTCTTCTATCCGCCTCCCACTCTCTCCCTATTTATTTCAAAACCCCCTTCCCCTCCTCCTTTTCTGATGAAGGGTCTAGGCCCGAAACGTCAGCCTCTCTGCTCCTATGATGCTGCTTGGCCTGCTGTGTTCATCCAGCCCTGCACCTTGTTGTCTCGCAAACTATCTAAGGCTCTCCAATAAACCCTGTGCCTATCTCTGACATTCACCGGCTAAAATAGAAGCGTATTGTTGCATCACATGATTGAAACCCATCAACATGAATTGTAGCTGCTGCATTAGTGGGAGGTTAACCTTGTGTTTTGGAACAAGTACTGCGAGAAAACTAATATAATTTTGTTTTATATTGAACAATGATACACGTGTAAGCTCCATTTGTGCAGGCCGGAGTTCCACCTGCTCAACGCTGAATGTTCAGGATTTACACACATGTAACGGAGACCATTGCCTAGAAAGAGTACCTTAAGATAGTTTCTGCCGAGAAGCAAAACTTCATAAATAATATTTTCCATTGTGTAGCTATACTTAATATTTCCAGGGAAGGTGTCTTTTTGTAGAAAAGTGGGATAACTTTATGTGTCACGAAAGGCACTTTACCATATTATTAGTGCAAAGAAACCAAAAGGAATAAAGTTCGGCTGATGAAACTGTATATTTACAAAGGTACATGAGAACCCAAGCAGACAAGAAGATAGTAATGTGCTATGAAGCACAAATGTATTGCCAGAGATCCACAGGTTTGAGAAAACACCTGAGGAATCAGCGCTTCTCTGGAGTACAACAAGATAAGCTTTTATTTTTTTAATGGAAAACAGGTCATGTGTCGTCTATACGGTAAAGTATTGTCTCACAAATCGTTTGTGAACACTTTACGTTGAAGTTGGATTCATGAATCAATATAATTATTCCAAAAATATGATATTTCCAATCAATGTGACTTATTCATAACATCTGTAAAATAATGCATGGCATAACAGTTCAAAAAGGAATTGCACAAAGTCTAATACAGGCCTCATTCTCTCAATACTGTACATGAGCTGCTTTTTTGGAATTTTATATCAAATATTCCCTGGGGTACAGGTCACCAGGAATTTTCAAAGCTTCCAACTCTTGGGTGCACAATGGCGAGAGGGCCTTCGGGACTTTTCCTCAGCACATCTTTGCGGCTGTGGCCACGCAGTTAGTGTGGTCCTCAACACGTAATCGTGGACCTTGAATTAATCCTTCTAACAAGAATACATGACCCATTCAAAGGAATAGAAAATAAAATATCTTCTGTTTATACCTTTCTCGAATGTCCTGAACGCTTCACGGCCAATTAAGTGAGATGTAATGAGCTGCAAACGACCAGGTAACGACCATTTCGCAATTTTGGCAAATGGATATTCTATTTTCTACACAGTAGCTGAAATTGTATAAGCAAAATGCTAGATGTTCCATTTATGTTTCAATATCGCACCCCGCACATTAAGCTTGAAGAAAAATGCAAAAACATACAATAAGTCTTTCACCATCTCACTGAGGAAGTAGAAAGCAATTAATCTGGAATCTTTTAACGTAACGTATAATTTTGACAAAGAGCCATTTTAAGGATACTGTCTCTTTCTCTAAAAGTAAATATTTGTTCAGCCTCGGTGTTGACTTCTATGATACGATAATAGCACATTATTCAAATTTTCAAATGGTCTTTGTTCGTTTCACGAAATCATTCCAGCGTAGGATGAAAAATAGATGGCTTCTTATATCCTGTCTAAATTTTGTGACTTATGTAAAACTTTTATGAGAACCTTAGAAGGACTGTGAGTCCAATTGGCCAATTAGGAAACTCGCATACATGTTGATATGAAATGTACACGTATTAAACTTTACAATCAATGATGCTAACATGGCTTACCGAAATTTCATTGGGCGATTCTTCAAGAAAAAAGTGACATGACATAGTTTGCAAAAAGTCTCATTTTCATTTTTGCTTCTTGATTACAAAATTAATAATAACGACATTAATTGTGTGAACAGTACCTAAGTAGAATAAATAATTATATTTATGTTTAATTTGCATCTGATTTGCACAGTGACAAATTGACGAGCGTTTATGTCCGAGATAACTTGAATGATTTAATTGACCGATGTAACTGAGTGTCGGGACTCAACAACATTGTTTTATGTTCATGTTATTAGATGTAGCCCCTCGGTAACGCTGTAGATTTGCGACAATATTTTGTGTAACATATATTGATAACCGTTTTGTTCCAGTTGATAACCATGTATTCAGAAAAAAAATAGGTTTTTTTTTAAACTGTAACTTGGAAATGTTCGTCCATTAAATTTAATTGGTTCGAACTTTCACAAGCGGGTTGCACTTAACCTCCAGTGTGCCAGTCATCCTTCTTCGAGCGCCCTCTCCCCACCGTGTCGGTCATTATATTCCCTACTTCGGTGCCAGCATTTATCAGCTGAAATCTGATGATCAGAACAATGGAGAATTATGTATTAAAGCACTCATATCGAGACCATGATTACTGAGAAAAGTCCTGGGCATTTTTAAGTGTTACAGACGTTTTGACCTGTGTCTTATAACGTAAGTAATGAAGGGATACAAAATATTTGTGCTATCTCACCCAAATATGAAAATGTTGGACTCGTTTATTCTGTATATGTTGACTACAGAGGGACTAAATAATTGGAAGGCACCACACACCATAAAGTATGCACCGAGCAACAAGTTGGTACTAGTTTGCAAATCCACTTGCTAATGTACGATGAGATCCATTCTTTCTGTAGTGACATCTAAAAAATACTAAATGGACGTTTTGAGGCCAGTTATGATCGGCGAAATTACTTTTGTTTAATCTTTATGTTTTAAGAATTGAGAACCCCCTGTGTGGTTTGTTTCCTCGTCTTTAAAAACCTCCATTAAGTTGTAACGAGAGGTGCAGCTATTTTATTTTGTAACGTCATGGACATTAGGGAGTTGTTTGTCAAATGTTTCAAGTACAGAATATTCACAATCCGAAATTTCTGGTTACCATTTTTCCAGCCAAAGTTTATTTTCAAATCTGAGATCCGCAGTCAGTTTGAAAGCAGTGAAAATGGACCGATGGTCCTTCGCAATACACATTGGAAACACACGAGACACTAAACGAAAGTAACAGAATTATCCTGATTTTAGCAACCTCGACTGATCATCTCCAGAAAATCTGTTCCTGAACGCAGAAGACTTTACAACGAGTTGGCAAGTTACTTGATTGACGAGTTTACTATCTGAAACCCCAGGGATAGTGGGGGGAGATAGTCGAGGAAATTTTGGTGCAAAGTTTAGATAAACCGCTGGTGTTTGTTATTAAATTCGAATTGCTGTAAAACTAAAATTGACATGTTCGAATCAAGAAAACATGTCTGTGGCATGCGCTGCTCTTTCTGGACAAAAATAATGTGGACCCGAACAACAAAGTTTGCTGGCCGTGTTTATTTTTGCACAGATCTTCATTCATACGTTGCAAGTTTTGCAGGCAGCTGATCAGTTTGGTTTTCATAGCAACAGGGGTCCGGAAAGAGGGATGGCTTAACACAATAAAACATTATCTCTGGCTCGTGCCGCCTGAAGTCCTGGCCAGAAATGTTCCTTTCACTGGCAACAAAGTGTTAATTAATTGAGGGGGGAATAAAAGACCCCGTGGATCGCAAAGAGGTGATCGTGCTGACGGCTTGGGTCTTACCCTCTTTATACTTCGCCACTTCTCAATATTTTCGAAAGGGATTCTGTTCTTATGCAAAACATTGTTTAAAATTCAAATCCGAACACGAGCCATATCATAAAACAGGAGGGTAGTCTGTGAGTTATCGGAAATAAGATAGCTCGCGTAAATTTGACCTTTTTGCATTGCACTGGCCGCAAACGTGGCGACTGAAATGTTGAAATGGGTAACGGTATCTCCCACTGATCCTCATAGCAAAAGAGGAGGATAACAGAAGTAAATTGACATACCGGTTACAAAACTGTTTCTCATTTTAACGATGTGTGAATGACCCGAGCGTGAATTGATGCAATTTAGTGCTAGAGGAGGCGATTTCCAAGGGGACGAGGCTCCCGTCATTTGCAAGTGTGAGTCCCAGTGGGATGGATGGTGGTTTTACTAATCTCGATTGTAATTGTATGTCTTAGCTGTCCTGATCGCAAATACACGCACCGGGTGTGGATGGCCGTTTGTATTTCAACCGAATGAGAAGAAAACCGTAAGAAGGTGGGTGAGCTGCCTGTTCAGAATCGCAGCTGCGTGTGCCGAAGCTCGCCGTGTTTTACATATTCAAAAAGCAGCGGATGTCTCATGTGACATGTTGATATGCAATTAAAA